CTAACCTCTTCAGACCTCCGTTTCCTCATTTTTAAAACAGGGATAGTCATACTTTCCTGGAGGTAAAGTTCAGAAAATCTTCCTGGGATGGGAAGATTAAGTGACATGATTCATGTAAGGCCTTAGCACAGCCTGGCATGCGGTGAGCTCTCTATCAGTTACTAACTTTTGACATGTTGGCATTGACCTCTGTGGTGAGACACGGAGCTCCCCAAGGACCAAGGCTCCTTCCTCTGTCTCTGCCTCAGTTTCAGGAAAGAATTCTCGTGAGAGCAATCAGGATTGGGTGTATGACGGCTCTCTTTCCTTTCCTCTTAAAGGGATGATAAGTGACCTCTTCTTCTCTGGTGAGGACCTGAGGACAGTGACCCTGGTCTCAACATGAAGGTCACCCCGGAGGTTAGGAGTCATGGGATGAAGTTTGCTGAGGAGCAGCTGCTAAAGCACGGATGGACTCCAGGTGATCCCCATGGGTACCTTCCACGTGACCCCAATTCCCTGCCTACCCTCTGCCCAAGGGAGAGGCATCATCCTGGAATATCCCTATGCAGTCCACTCAGTTGGAGGAGGGAAACTAGCTTAAAGGGAAATTTGCAGAAGAAAATTTCTGACTGTTCCAAAAAAGGGGAGAAGAGGAAGAAATTTGACAGTGGGTATTAAGAAATGGTTGGGAGGACAGGGGCAGAGGGGAAGAAACACGACATCTGTCCTGAAAGAATTATAAAGGAGAAGAGATAACGGCAGGGGGACTGCATGGAGAGGTGTCAGAAAGAATGGAACTCAGAGGGCTTCTGAGAGGGATAGAGTTTGCCCAGTGCTACCAGTGGCATGTGCTGGGGTGCCTGTGAGAGCTTGGGGCAGGCAGAATAAGCTAAGTCACTGTCTTCTGCAGGCAAAGGCCTGGGCCGGAAGGAGAATGGCATTACCCAGGCCCTCAGGGTGACGCTAAAGCAGGACACTCATGGGGTAAGACTGGGCAGGCTGAGGGAGGTGTGGATGGGGGAGGGGGAGCCCTTGAGGACAGGGAGGCAGGTTCGGAGTTCATACTTCTTCCTCTGGCAGGTGGGACATGACCCTGCCAAGGAGTTCACAAACCACTGGTGGAATGAGCTCTTCAACAGAACGGCAGCCAGCTTGGTGGTGGACACTAAGCAGGTATGAGCTCTAATAGACGGGCATGTGAACCATGAGGCCTGGGACAGGTGGAGGTGAGGGAGCAAGGGACTGTCACCCACTCACTGAAACTTCCCCACAGGACGGAGTACAGATAAGGCGCCTTTCTAAGGAGACCACCCGTCATAATCATCCCAAGCCCAACATGCTGTATCAGAAGTTTGTGAAGGTATTAGAGGCTGGGGGTGAGAGGGTTCATCCTTTTTTTTTTCCTTCCTTGGGGCCTAGACAGTTGCCTTGTATGCCCTGCATATTCTCAGGTTTGTCCTAACAGTGGGATCCTGTTACCAACCCCTTGCTGTTGCTTAGACTGCTCAGACCCTAGGGAAGAATTGGGGGGGCGGGGGGCAGCAACAGAGTGGGTGGTAGGGCATAATCAGGAGCTGCCAGAGTGGGGCAGGGACGGGATGTCCAATTTAAAGGACTTAGAAGTCAGAGACCTGAGAGATTATCTGGTCCATTCTTATTTTGCACATGTGGCCAACGGTGGGGCAAGAAGGGCTTGTTGAAGAGCCCACAGTTGGCTAGTAACGGCAGACAGGGCTGGAACCCAGGTCTTCAGACTCCCACCTACTAAGCATATCAATAGAAGGGAGCTAATACTTAATGGTCACCTATTATGTGCCAAGGTCTCTACATGGTATCTAGCAAATCTTTCCCATTTCTCTTCATCTCTGTGGCCATCTTCTATCCCAGACCATCATCTTCTACCTTTAACAACCTTATAAACCAGACTCATCACCTCTAATCTAACTCCCCACTCCAGTCAGTTCATCCTCCACACAGCATCCAGAGTGCTCTAAAACAAAAATTTCATTATTTCATCGACAACTCCTTGATTTACAATGACACAGATTATCAGACTGGCTCATGTGGCCTTGTCCCTGCCACCTTCTCTAGCTCTGTCTCTTGCCACTTATCTCAGGATCTTCATACTTAAGCCAGATGGAGTTGTTATTTTTAAGTTTTTGCACATGCTATTCCCTCTGCCTGGATTTTTCTACTCCCTTTCCTCCTTTACCTGATTTTTTTGTCTCCCAGAGCTCAGCCACTTCTAGAAACTGTTTACTAAACCCTGAAATCTGAGTGGGTACCCCTCCTGTAGCACAAACTCTCATCCTAATTGCTAATGTTCTGCCATATTCCCTTCCCCCCTCACCATGTAGATTCCATCTGGGCTGGACCATCTCATTCTTTTTCCACTCTGTATCCTCAACCCTTGGCCCATAGTAGGTTCTCAATCTGGTCAAATAAAGTACTGTGCGTAGGTGTTGGGGATGGGGGGGAAAGGTGTCATCTTTATCGTCAAGATACTTGAACTATGGGATGACCACCCGGGGACACTTGTCCCACTGTGAAGACCTGATGGCCCTTTCTCCCTTCTTGTTGTGCCCACTAGCCAGGAGGCCAGGGCTGCTCTCCCCCAACCTCCCACAGCCCTTCTGCTCAAGCTGAAGTATGCAGTTTGGTGCAGCTCTCTGTGGTCTGCAGGAGTGATATTGGGGGCTGGCAAATTTGTGCCTCTGGGTATGAATTCCTGGGGAGGCTCCCAGGAGGGAAAAGGGATAGCAGTGGTGTGTTGAGTGGGCCTTGTCCACCTCATGATTCCTTATTCTAGACTGCCACACTGACCTCAGATGGGGAGAAGCCAGACAAGGACTTGGAAAGCTGCAGTGATGATGACAACCAGGAGCCCCAGCCTTCAAAAATGTGAGACTTCATTTTAGCGCTGGGGGCAAGTGGGAGGAGATGCTGCAGATCTCAAGAGAAAGGACCAGGTCTAAAATAATGCTTGGATGGGGCTTCTTCGGGGTGGAACTGTTCTATACTAATCTTTGTGTCTTGAAAGAATGTTTTAGAGGGGAGGAGAGGTCAAGCTTTTCCACCAGATCTGTTTGTAATTTCTGATCTCCCCCACCCCAAACCTCCACCAGTCTGACCGATGAGATGCTGCTCCAAGCCTGTGAGGGTCGAACAGCACACAAGTAAGTAGTTACTTGTTAGCTCCTGAGTCTCCCTTCTCTCCCTATCACAAGCCCACCCCTAAGGATGGCCTATATCACTTCTTGACTCTTTTTTATCCCAGGAGTGTGATTCATACTACCTGCCCATATCTGAAGCTGCTTTTAAGATAGCTCCTCCCCTACCAACTTCCCCTACAGTCTCAAGAATTAGGCTTTTTCCTGATACCTACCCTCTGATTTTCGCCCTATTTCAGGGCTGCCCGTCATGGAATTACGATGAAGGCTAAGCTTGCTCGTTTGGAGGCCCAGGAGCAGGCCTTCCTGGCTCAGCTCAAAGGCCAGGACCCTGGGGTCTCTCAACTGCAGACTGAGAGCAAGCCCCTCAAAAAAAAGAAAAAGAAGCAGAAAGAGGAAGAAGAGGCTACAGCAACTGAAAGGAATGCAGACAAGGAGTATCCCAAATGTACTGACCAGAGCATCAGGAAAAGCAAGAAGAAAAGACAACTTCAAGATAGGAAAGAGGGGACAACTGTAGGGGATGAGGAAGAGGTCACAGAAACAGGAGGGTTTGGGGAACTAAAGAGCAGAGAACAAACTGATTCATCCCACAGGAAAAGGAAGAAAAAGAAGAGGCAGCACCATGAAGAGGAGAAGCTGGGGGTCTTAGGTAGAGGAGGAGGTAAGGGGGATGTAGGTGGTATCAGAACAGAGAAGGTAGAGAGACAAGCACACACTGATTCACACAGCAGAAGCAAGAAGCAGCAGTGCGAGGAGAAGGAAGACTTGAATATGGAGGATAAAGAAGGTGAGGAAGCTGTTGTAGATGGTGGGACCAGGGAAGCAGAAAGCAGAGCATGCAGTGATAAGAAACGCAGAAGCAAGAAAAGACAGCGGCATCAGGAGGAGGGTGTCCTGGACATAAGCGATGGACATGAGGATGGCAGGACTAGGGAAGCAGAGAGCAGAGCACACGCTGGCTCAAGCAGCAGAGGTAAGAAGAGGAGGCAGCAGCAAGCAGAGGAGGAAAGAGCCACAGTCAGCACTGACCAGAGAGCAAACAAGAAGAAACTGAAGAAGAGAGACTGAAGGTCGGGTGAGGGTGGTCCTCAATCAATTTCTTTTCAGGAGTTGTTGAGGCCTCAGAGACCTGAGTTGATGCAGGTCTCCTGCACCCCCCCAGTGAGGGGTCCTTCCCGAGGAGGAACCAGCTCTGGATACCAGCATGCTGAGAGGAGAGCAGTAGCACCTGCCTTATTGAGGGAATGGGCTTCTTCCCCTTTGCAGCTCCTAACCCAGAGATCATGAACTCAGATGCCCATCGGAGCCAGGCAGCCAAGGGACAAGGAGTGCTTGGGGCTTTGGGGATAGGAATGCAGATACCCTTTGAAGGGGCATCCTTGCTAAAAGAAACTAAAAATGTTGATTTATGTGATATGTCCTGATTCTTAAATATTGTGAAGCTAAGGAAAACATACAATTCTCATTCTGTGAGCTGGTTTCTAACACTATGCCAAATGAGTCAATAAATGTGAGCTTGGGCTCCTAGCCTATATATCAGTCCCGACTGGCACCTCCATTCCCAGCCTGGGAAGGTCCTAAATACAAATTAAGTTTCCTGGGCACCTTTGAAGAAATTCCTTCTGTTAACCGCCTGGGGTCTTGCCACATTGTTGAATGGAAGGGGAAGGCTTAGAGAACCTCATCCAGTGTCCTGTATCCCTAAGGGGTAAGAGTTGATGTGTATAAAGGACAAGCACCTCACTTGGGGGACTTTTTCAGCATCTGAAAGTATGTAGTGCCCCCAAATGCCACAGCAACTTCTCTTGCTTGTTCTTCCCCAAAGAGGACACCATATCTCCAGTGTTGCTGACCACCCATTAACCTTTATAGCCAGAAGAGCTTCCAGGTCTCCACCGTTCTGGGAGAGAGAGAGGCACGAAGTCTTTATTGGGAAGAACAAACGTCTACCTTCCCTCACTGCAGACGGTATACACACTCCGTGTCAGGGTACGGTGGCAGATTCAGCTGGTACTTCTTTTCCAGAGCAGGTGGTACGAAACGACCCCCCAGGTAGTGGTAGCGACCAGTGAAGTGGGTGGCAGACTTTTTAGGTGCAGTCAGGGAGATGAGCAAGTCTGGCTGGATCCCTCCAGGGTTTCCCTTCTCCACATCCCATCCTGAAAAGAGGGTTGTATTCAGGAAGAGCAGAAGAGGCCACGTGTCTATCTAGTCCTCTTCCAAACCTTGCTCTACCCCAGACCTAAAGAAATAGGAGCCCCTTTAGGACCGCATCCTTGGAGCTCCCTGTGTCCCTAGGCTTAGGTCTCTTGGAGCCAACATGCAAAGGGTACTCCTGAACTCTGCTCCCAGCTGTGTTCTGCACCTCTAGACTCATTTTAGACTTGGTCTGAGCCTTGAGTCAAGGATCAGGATTCCTAGGTACCTACCTCAAAACAGGGCAGGGCCCCAATCCCAACCTCCTTGAACCCAGCACCTGAGGGAATGTCGATGCTGGCAATGGGCACGGTGAGTCCACTCAGGACGCTCAGGATGTTGCGGAATGGCTCCCGAACATCTCCCTTGAAGCTGAAGCCAAAGATGGCATCCACCACCAACTCATATAGCTCATCGATCAGCTGGGGCTGTGGGGGAACAGGAAAAGTCAAGGATGTCAGAGCCAGCAGCTGTACAAAGAGCTCTTAATAGGAGAGGCTGTCCCCTGTACCCACAGAGGCACAAATACAATTTTGTCTCATTCAGATGATATTCTGAGACAGAGTTCAGTGCAAGTGGGTCCCTGATTTAGGTCAGGCTGAGTCCAGACATCAAGTTCTGCCATTGGGGAGGCTACAGTATCGGAGAGCCTGAGACTGGGAGTCAGAAGGGCCATGGTCTGGTCTGTTACTTTGGACAAACCACTTATATCTATAAAATGTGTTAAATTTTTTAAAAGCCCATCAAGTTGCCCTAACTGGTTTGGCTCAGTGGATAGAGCATCGGCCTGCGGACTCAAGGGTCCCAGGTTCGATTCCGGTCAAGGGCATGTACCTTGGTTGCGGGCACATCCCCAGTGGGGGGTGTGCAGGAGGCAGCTGGTCGATGTTTCTCTCTCATTGATGTTTCTCTTTCCCTCTCCCTTCCTTTCTGTAAAAAAAATCAATAAAATATATATATATAAAAAAAAATAAAAGCCCATCAAGCTCTCAAGTTTCCCACCCCCTAAATCCATGCATCTGCAGAAAGGGTTTAGGCACTGACTTCGGCTCCTAGGATGATGTGTTCACTGCATCCTAGGGGAAGAGGAATGACTACAGAGTGAAAGGAGTGACCAGGGGAGGTGCCAGGCACTGTTCCTACCCTTCAAGAGTTTAACATCTAGAGCAGCGGTTCTCAACCTGTGGGTCGAACGACCCTATCACAGGGGAGGCCTAAGACCATCGGAAAACACATAATTACATATTGTTTTTGTGATTAATCACTATGCTTTAATTATAGTGATAATTTAATGTAAATATCAGATATTTACATTACAATTCATAACAGTAGCAACATTACAGTTATGAAGTAGCAACGAAAATAATTTTATGGTTGGGGGTCACCACAACATGAGGAACTGTATTAAAGGGGCGCGGCATTAGGGAGGTTGAGAACCACCGCTCTAGAGGGAGATAAGCAGATGAGCTCAGCCCAGAAACAGAAGGGAAGAGCAGAACACAATGGTCACTATGGAGGAGAGCAGTGAACGGGAGCCGCCTACCTCTGGGGGCATTTCACCGAGGAAAGGGATGTCCATTTTCTCACACTGGGTCACCAGGGCAGTGAAGAGTGGCTTGTTCGGCCTTTTGGGGTAATAGATGGTTGGCTGGTAGCCCTGCGAGGAAAGGAAAGGGGTAATTCACGTTCAGATCCTAGCGACCGTACAGCCGCCCGCAGCCCTCCACATACTCACGAAGAGTTTGAGGTGCCGAGCGCAGACCAGGCCGTCGCCTCCGTTGTTCCCAGGGCCACAGATGACCAGGACAGTGGGGGGGCTCCTGGACAGGGACGTGGGGGGGTATGCCTGAAGGCAGAACCAGCGGGGATTCCGAGTGGCTTGGGGCCCAACAGCCCAAGCTTGCCCCACTGTCCCGCCCCCTCCGCCAGGTCCCGGCCCGCGGCCGGGTGAAGCGTGGCACCGCTGACCTTGGCAATGGCTGTCGCACAGCTCAGCCCCGCCAGCTCCATGAGTTGGTCCACGCTGAACTGGTACTCCTTGAACAGCTCCTCGTCCACGGCCTGCGCCTCCTCCTGGCTGAGCAAACCCTCTGCTCAGGGGCTCGGCCCCGCGGGCGGCACAGCGCCCTCCGCCCGCGCGCCCGGCCGGAGCCCCGCCTACCTCAAGAGCTTCACCTGCGCGCTCGCCATGACCTCCGGGTCCCCGCGGCCGCCCGAGCTCAGCCGCTGCGGCCCCCACCAGGTGGGGCTCACTCGACAGGCGCTGGCCTGGGACCGGACGCGCGGCAGGCGCGATCCCGCCACCAGCAGCCCAAACCCGAACAGCGACCACAGCCGAGACATGCGGCTCGCGGGGCGCGCCCTCGGCCCTGCCCGCCGCCCTGGCGCATGCGCAGCGCTATGCCCCGCCCCCGAGAGGCCGGGGCGGGACCAGGCGCCGGAAGCGCCCGCGGGCTCCCGCTCGCTCTGCCGCGCGCCCAGTTCTTCAAGTTGAGCGGAGCTGTGAGCCCGGGTTCCTGCCCTGCTGCTAACTAACTGCGGGATGTGGATACTCCAAGTTTCCGTGTCCTGGCTATAAAATGGAGGAAGGTACATGCATCTCATAGGGTAAATGCATGCAGAGCGTCGGCAGGAGCGGGTACTCAGGACTCCGTAAATTAAGCTAGTGTTCTTTTTTTAAAAAATATATATTTTATTGATTTTTTACAGAGAGGAAGGGAGAGGGATAGAGAGCCAGAAACATCAATGAGAGAGAAGCATCAATCAGCTGCCTCCCACACCCCCCCACTCCTCCACTCCCATACTCCCCAACTCCCCACTCCCTCATTGGGGACGTGCCCGCAACCAAGGTACATGCCCCCAACCAAGGTACATGCCCCCAACCGGAATCGAACCTGGGACCCTTCAGTCCCCAGGCCGGCGCTCTATCCACTGAGCCAAACCGGCCAGGGCTAAGCTAGTGTTCTTACATGCGTGCGCTGCTGCTGAGCGTTTTATATAACTTAGTGCCCTCTCCTCACCACATTAGCTCCCCTAACTCTGTTCACCAGCATGGCACAGTGTATTTCCTAGTCACACAGAATCCTTACCTCTTTACCAAAATAATAGTAATAGGAAGTAGGTTGAGTATGCCATGGTCAAAAATGCTGAAACCATGGACTCCAGGTCATGATACTATCAAGAAAAACCTGGAGAGGAAAACTAAATCTCTTACCCAAGAACTTTTAAAAATGTAAACACACCCTTGAATGGTTAAGGGAGAAGTTTGTGGAATAACAAGTCACCATTAAGGCATACTCAGGTGGAATGAAGATCATTTTTAAGCTAGATTTATTCTTTTCTGTATCATGAAATGCCTCCTGACTAGTTCATTGTGAGTAGCAAGAACCCCTCCACCTTTTAACTTCTCTTCTGATAATCTCATTTTTACTTATGAGATTTATCATCTCGTATGGGATGTGCCCTTGTTCTCCAGCTATGCTTGTTTTTACAAGTTTGTGGTGGGAAATTGAATTTAGCAGACTGTGATTGTGGTTGGAAACTTTTTGTTAAGCTGTGTTTATGGTTGGAAACTGGGTTTACAGTGTACATTACAATTGGATAATCTTGCCCAAGGCCTCATTAACTTTGTTACTTTACCAGCATATAAATAGCTTTACTTTTATGCCTGTTTGAGAAATTAATTTGGTGATTCTGAAAATTCATTTCTAAAACATGATGTGAAGCATTTTTCTTTGAGATAGCTAACATTTTGAATACTTATATGTGCCAAGTGATAACATGAATCATTTTAATTCACCTTCAAAACAACCCTGTTATTATTCCCATTTTACAGAAGGGCAAACTGAGACTCCAAGATATTGAATGACATGCCCAATAATACAGTGATAGCTGTTAGTGGAACTAGGATTCAAGCAGCTTGACCTAGAGTCTGCAGTATTAAGCACCATTCAATACTGAACTGACTCCCAAATGCATGTGAATGTAATTAAAGGCTTGTCACTGCTGATTTCATTTTCATGAGATGTAACTATAAAATAATGACACAAAGCATCTCATCCCACCACACACACACACAAACACACACAGAATTTACCAAACAACCAAATGACAGATGTTCCCAGGAAGGCAGTGCCTGAGACCTAGTCCACTTTGTTGCTATTTCTCAATTTTGGAGTTTTCTTTGGGAAATACCTTCAAAGTCAATTTAGAAAGGGCACATGGATTGACCACCTACTGAGTGCCAGATGCTTTACATAGATTATCTAATTTAATCCTGTCAATCCTATGATATATTTTTATCCTCATGTTATAGATAAAGAAATTGAATGGCAGAGAGAAATCAAGTAATTTTTCTAAGATAATACAGCTATTAAATGGTAGAGCCAGTAATACTGAATTGGCAATACTCCTGGGTGGCAGACACTGCTACTTATCCCTCAAAATCTGTTCTTTTTTCCTTTGATAACAGAATCCCTGAAATCTATCTGGCCACATGGATGCCTATCTAACACTGCATTTTCCAGTCTTCCTTGCAGCAGCTAACCATACACATGTGACTAAACTCTGACCAATGAGATTTGAGCAGAAATGATATATGTAACTGATAGGTCATAACCTTAAAAAAGTTGTTTTCTTCCACTTCCTCTTCTTACTGGCAAGAAGGAAGGTATTATACTGGAGCGGGAGCAATCATTTAGACCATGAGATGTAAGTCCCAGGTTGAGGATGGCAGAGTATCCTGCCTACCTCCCCAAGCTCCACAGAGCACTATATTAGCCCTGGGCTACTTATATGAGACAGGAATAGAGTTCTCTCTGGATAAAGGCACTGTTATGTTGGCTTTTGTTATATAATTGGTAAAACTGCATCCTAATCAAGACAAAATAATATACTCCATTTACATAAGGAAGATTAACAGATGTGTCCCCAGCACCTACTTCTGTGCCTAGCACATAGTAGGTCCTCTACAAATATGTTTTTTTAAAAATATGTTTTTATTGATTTAGAGAGAGAGAGGAAGGGAGAGGGATAGTGAAACATCTATAAGAAACATCATTAGCTGTCTCCTGCATGTCCCCTACTGGGCATCTAACCCCATCGTCCCATGCACTGAAAGGATGCAGATTCGATTCCTAATCATACTCTTGGCTCAGCAATTTATATAATATTTAATTAAATTACAATAACACATACAACCAGCATAAATACATTTGTGTCAAGTAAACAATGGCTTGACCGGGTGTGGAACTGCCCAGCATTACAGAAGGGACTCACTACCTAGGTTAGGATCACGGCTTCTCTGCTTACTAGCGTGACCTGGGAAGACAAACACCTTAGATTGTTTTGCTCTCTATTCCTCACTGTGAAAGGGGATTCGCCTGCTGTGATTAAAGGAGAAAATACTCGTGAAGCACTTAGAACAATGTGTGGCATGTGCTAAGTGATTAAAACCCATGTTGAATATCATTGTTGTGGCTACTGGCAGCAGTTGTGCCACAGGCGGCGGCCTCAGGGGCCTGCATCCAGCCCCTGCTGTTTCATGGAGGACGCGGAGTGCATGGTTGGTTCAGCTGTACCTTCTCTAGTCTTATAACCCCATTTTCCATGTGAGAAAATGGAGGTCTGGAGAGTCATTGACTTCAAAGCCTCTTGGTCAAGAAGTTATAGTTTTTAGAACTGGAAAAGGGCCTAAGTCAGCGGTTCTCAACCTGTGGGTCGAGACCCCTTTGGGGGTCGAAAGACCCTTTTACAGGAGTCGCCATATCAGATATTTACATGACGATTCATAACAGTAGCAAAATTACAGCGATGAAGTAGCATCGAAAATAATTTTATGGTTGGGGGTCACCACAACATGAGGAAGGTTGAGAGCCACTGGCCTAAGTGATCATGAGGTTTGGATCCAGAAGGAACAGGGGGAGATTCACCATCCATTTCCCTTTTCGCTTTTGCCTGTTGAGTCCAAACCTCCCAGCAAGGAGCACTGGCAGCCTCAGTGCTGAGACTGCAAAGCCCTTGTGCAGCCTGCCCGGGAGCCCACTTGCTGCCCGTGGTGTAATCCGTGTCTATACAGCACTGAACAACTGGGAAGGGTCTTGGTCCCAGAAACCACACCCTCAAGTGTGTATGTTGGGGAGGGACCGCTGAGGCCAGTAGGGTGGGGTCACGTGATCATGCAGAAGCCAGATGTGGTGGGTCTCCTTGGTGGGTCCCTGCTGGAGGTCTCCCTGGGCTGTTTGAATGACCTGAAGGAGGCAGGGCAGAGCTTGCCAGTGGGAGTGGCTATGGAAGAGCAGAGGCAGCCTGCTCTGACTCCAGCTTCTGCTGCCCTCTCTAGCCCTTACCTCTGCCGGTGGGCTGCAGGGCAGTAGGGAGGAGATGTAAGCTGCATATCCCCACGTTCAGCGGCGCTCTTCCTTTCTCTGAGGTCTACAGTCAGGCCGTGCAGGAGGCAGGGGACCGGCCAGGCCTCCTGAGCTGGGTAAAAGTCGTTCAGATTACTAAGGAGCAAAGACAAAGAGGCTCAGAGCACTATATATTCCCAAGCACCAGTCCATACCTTCCCCCAACTTTAACAGCAATAATGTCCCATTAAAATGGTCCAAAGTCACATCCTCTCCTACTCCCTTTATCCATTCTCCAGATCTCCTTCCCTCCCCCAGGGACCCACTCATTGGCTTGAGGGCCACTGGGTACCAGGATGCCAGAGCACTCCATTCTGGGGGGCGGGGGGGGGGGGCGGGGAATGGTCTCCAAATGAGAGATGGGCCCTAGGTCCAGAACCATCCTGGTGGAAGAGAGACTTTGGGAGAACAAGGAGGGAGGTGTGAGGGATGTGTTGGTCACTGTAGGTACATACACCAAGGACTATGGTTTGGGGCTGGTAAGATTGACGAGCCTGGGCTGTCTAGTGGCTAGGCATGGGGGTGACTTGCAGTGCCTGGAAGGAAACACACTGAAAAGATGTCAGTGAATTCAAGTCAGCAAATAGCAAGGAACTCTGCTGCTGGATTTGGAAGCCTTTGAGGGAAGAGACTAGTAAGCAGCAAGGTAGGGTAAGAAAAGCACCAGTTACCTGTCACCTAGTAGGCTTCCAACAAACCCTGGTGCTCTGAGATGCAGACCTAGAAGTTAGGAAGGCTGTGGAAGCAAGGAGGAAGAGGTGATCCAGAAAGAGTCAGGAAAATGGGCCAGGGTCTTGAGAGAGGAGCAAAAATGGGGGTAGGGCTGGTTCTGGGTGTTAGGCCTGGGGTGGGAGGAAAGAAGGGAGTGGGCAGAGTGCTCCCCTCAGCCGGGACAGCCTACACCTACTCCCATTCCAGTCCCTGCCCAAGCCAACCCAGTCGCAGGGAACTTTCATGAAGCCTTCTTCCTCTTTCTCCTCGTGGCCCTCCTCCAACTCTTTGTCTTTCCACCACCCAAAGGTCTATACTAGTCCGAGTTCTGGTCAAGGGCATGTGCCTGGGTTGCAGGTTCAATCTCCGCCTAGTCAGTCGGGGTGTGGTGGGAGGCAACCAATTAATGTGTCTCTCTCATATTGATCTTTCTCTTTCTCTCTCTCCCCCCCTCCCTCTCTTCTGCTCTCTAAAAATCAATGGGAAAACTATCCTTGGGTGAGGATTAACAAAAGAAAAAAGAAAAAGAGAGAGATAGAAGACATAAAACCTTAGTGGAGCACTGCCCCTATACTATTCTATACACTATAGCAGCGGTTCTCAACCTGTGGGTCGCGACCCCTTTGGCGGTCGAACGACCCTTTCACAGGGGTCGCCTAAGACCATCCTGCATATCAGATATTTACATTACGATTCATAACAGTAGCAACATGACAGTTATGAAGTAGCCACGAAAATAATGTTATGGTTGGGTCACAACCTGAGGAACTGTATTTAAAGGGCCAGAAGGTTGAGAACCGCTTCTCTATAGGGTCAGGTAACAGGGGGCCAAGGGGCACCCAATCAGGTGCCCTCCTTCCTGGGGTACCTATGAGGCCCCCAGTCCCCACAGCACTGCTGCAACACCTCCCAACACCCTCCAGAAGTCACATCCACCCCAGAAGCTCCGCCCCACCCCGCTCACCTGTGCTTTGCTTCTGCGGGGCTTCTTCCCAGTCTGGCGGGAGTCCCTGCCAGGCCGGCCCCACCTGGAGGCTGAGGCTTCCCTGGAGCTGAGATCTGGGAACGAAGGGGAGTAAAGGGAATCGGTTTCAGAAAAATGGCTGTGGATGTGCACATGAGTGCATGTTCCCTCCAGAGACCTGGCCCCAGAGACAGAGAAGTGTCAGAGCAAACTGGGCCACGCCACAGGCCTGAGAATACAATTTCCGGGTGAGGCCTTCTCTTCGGTCAAGGTCCCCACTAGGCACTGTCATGTTAGAGCTCAGGCTCACGGACTGTCAGATGTGGCCAGGGCCTGACCACCACCCCGTCCTGCTTGAGGCCTCCAAAAGCGAAGTCACAGAAAGCTGGTGGCCCATTTTGGGTGGAACCCCAGGTCCTTTGACTCCCAATTCAGTCCTCTTTCTGTACCAGGCTGATTTAATTCGTTTTATTCCTCACCTGAGGACATGCTTAGAGAGAGGAAGGGAGAAAGAGAGAAACATCAGTGTGGGAAACAATAATTGATTGCCTTCCGTATGTACCCCAGCCCGCAGCCCAGGAATGGAACTGGCAACCTTTCGGTGCACAGGACGATGCTCAAGCGAACTGAGCCATTCTGGCTGGGCAGGCTAATTTGATATTACTTGCAAATTATCAATAGGGTGTCCCAGTCTTTAAAATAAGAGAAGACATGCCCTGGCTGGTGTTGCTCAGTGATTGGAGCATTGACCCACGTAATGAAGGACTGCAGGTTTGAGTTCTGGTCAAGGGCATGTGCCTGGGTTGCAGGTTCAATCTCCGCCTGGTCAGTCGGGGTGTGGTGGGAGGGAACCAATTAATGTGTCTCATATTGATCTTCCTCTTTCTCTCTCTCTTCTGCTCTCTAAAAATCAATGGAAAAACTGTCCTTGGGTGAGGATTAACAAAAGAAAAAAGAGAGAAGACATAAAACCTATTAAATAAATATAATAAATACTAAAGTGTAATTTGAATTCCTGGGATGGGAGGTTTCCTGAGGGCATCTCAGAGGGTGGGGGAGCAGGCCGTTGAAGAGGCTGAGAGGTGGAGAGCCAGAGGAGGAGCATGGTGGAGGTCCCGGAGAAACGGCCCCAGAGAACAACGATGGGAGAGAGGGACTTCCTTGGAGCACTGCCCCCATCCTGTGGCCCTTTTGAGAAGTGCAGCCGAAGACTTAAAACACCACCTCCTCCTTGGTGTGGCTCAGGGTCCCTAACTGTACTGAGCTGGTTACCACTCAGCTAAGGCCCTGGCACAGCCCTAGAGTTGGACACAGGCCACAATCCCCCGCCCACCTCCCACCCCCAGGCGACCTCAGGAAAGTGATACCTGTACCTTATGCTGGCCCAGGGCACACGAACACAGAAGAGCAGTCAGGCACGGCATCCCGAGAACAGCAGCTCTGCTTACCTTACCTCTTCCTCCTCCAGGCAACCTCTCCCCGCCCCCAGCTCCTTGTCTCGGGTGTCAGCTCACCGGGGTGTGGGTTGGGTCCAGCCCACCCTGAGCCAAGTGGGTCCTCATGGCGTCCGCCAGCTTGGCCACCAGCCGTTCTCGCACAGAATCTGGCTCCTTCTGGGGAGAGGGAGGATAATGCAGTGATGGGGAGGGCCTGGGCTTTGTGGTTCTCTGGGATTTGGGGAAGAAAGAAACAGGAAAGGGAGAAAGAAAGGGGGGTTTGTCTTCCTTCTCTTTTGCTCCACCCCCATGCCCTTGCCAGAGTCCTGCCCAGAACTGTGGACAGAGACAAATTCTTCCTCATAGTAGTGTCCCAGGGCATAGCACACATGTGCCCAGTGCATGTTCGATGAGTGAATGAATGACGCAGAGAAGACAAGACATGAGGCAGGACTGTTAGCCGGAGAAGGCCAACAGGAAGAGGGAGATTCTGGGATGGGAGGTCTCACCTGACACTGGGCCAGCGCCTCCTTATAGTACTTCAAGGCCTGGTCATGCTGCCCCAGTCTGGCTGCAGCAGCCCCCAGACCCTCGCAGGCCTGCCACTGCCCCTTCACGTCCCCTGGGGAAGAGAGCCTGAGAGGTCCTTTTATGGCTCCTACCTCCCCAACCCTCCCCCCAGAGGCACTCCCCACCCCCAACTCCCAATCTGCCTCCCGACCAGCCCCAAGGACTCTCAGCCTTTGCTCCAGCACCCCCAAGCCACCCACGAACCCCCTCACCCTCACCAGTGTCCTGGGCAGCCTGCAGAGCATGGAGGTAGTTGTCTCTGGCGGCCTTGTGGTCCCCCAGCTGGCTCAGTGCAAATGCCAGGCTGCCAAAGCTCCGGCCTTGCTCCCACCGCTGCCCCACAGAACCTGCCGACAGAGCCCACCCAATTCTAAGAGGGACCTTGGCCGCTGGGGTATCAGGACCCCACCCCCCAACAACCAGAACAGGGTTTGCAGGAATGCCAGTGCTCAGCCCCAACACACCTTCAGATGTGCCTCAAGGCCCAGGCTTTCAGCACCACATTCAGCTGCTCCTCAGTCCCGAGTTTTGGCCTGAATGCCTCTCCCTGGGGACTCTGAGCCACGCAATGATCTTGTGAGGCAGGCAAGGCAGGTATTGATAGCTCTTCCTTCTGCCCATTGCTGCCTTCCCTTTCCTAGGCCTCAGCCTTCGTGCCCACAACCCTCTGTCCTACACGGCTAGGCTATCCCATCTCCTGCATCTCCAGCCCCCTGCTTCTGGGCTTCCTGACCCCATAACGAGTCCTAAAGGTCCATTCACTCTTCAGCCTTTGGGCCCCTGGCACTTACCATGCAGGTCAGCAGCTTTCTGGTGAAACCCCCGGGCTTCCTGGTAGTTGCCAAGGGCATTGTGGGCCATCCCAAGGTTTCTCAGCACCGTGGCCTCCTCTCCTGGCCCCCGGCACAAGGGCAAGGCCTGCAGGAAGGCCTCTAGTGCTAGTGGGAACAGCTGGAGCTGGGAGTAGCCCAGGCCCAGGTCATTATAGAGCTGCCCTAGAAGGCAAGGCCGGGGTCACTGGTAGCCAGGTAGACCCCTGTCCCGCTCTCAAAGGGTCCCACCATCCCCTTCCCCCGCCACAGACATGCCCCTGCTTCCACCCCACCTCTCAGAGTGTCGCCAGGTCAGAGCCCACACTTCTCTGACCAAAGGCCTCACCAAGCAGTCGCCGCTCAGTGCTCATCTCCGCCAGCCGCCAGCTCTCCTCCAGCACCTGCACCACTTCACCCACGCCGTGCTGCCCGCTCTTCAGCATACACCCCGCCGCAGCCCCCAACGCCAGGGCTGCTGCCCGGGGCTGCCCTGCTCGGGCATAGGCCTGGCTTGCTTCCTGCAAGCACTGGGCTGCTGGCTCAGGCTGTCCCAGAGCCTGGTAGCAGGCTCCCATTTTTGCCTGGACCTGCCCCTGGTCACCCAGTGGCTGATAGTGGCCCAGGGCCCTGTGGTACCAGGCCAACGCTTGAGGCAGGTTGCCCAGGGCTTGGTAGGCCAAAGCCACATTGAAACACTGGTCACCATGACACCTGCCCTGTGCCTTCTCTTCAGGTTGGGCCCTTAGGAGCAGCTCAAGGCCTCTGGCTGGGTCCCCCGTCTCCACGTAGGCAGCCCCCAGGTTGAAGGCACAGGCCCGGAGAAGAGGAGTGTCCCGCTCCCGTGAGGCCTTGGAGGCCAGGAGGAAGGCCCTCTGGAAGCTGGTCAAGGCCTCATGGTTCTGGCGAGCCAGTAGGGCCCTGTGGCCAGCCCTGGTGAGGACTTGGATGCTGGCCTCATGCTGCTGACACTTGCTTTTCTTCTTTTTCTCCTTGGACCTGGAGGGCTCAGTCTCAGGCTCTTGTGGGGTACCCTCAGGGTTGGGGGAAGACATAGTACTGACAATGGAAAGCACAGGGTTCAACATGTCAGCCTTCGCTTCCTCCAAAGCAGGATCCCTCCAGCGCAGCAATTTTCAACCTTTTTCATTTCATGGCACATGTAAACTAAACATATGATTACTAAAATTCTGCAGCATGCCCTAGCCGGTTTGGCTCAGTGGATAGAGCGTTGGCCTGCGGACTGGAGGATCCCGGGTTTGATTCCGGTCAAGGGCATGTGCCTGGGTTGTGGGCTCGATCCCCAGTAGGGGGCGTGCAGGCGGCAGCCAATCAATGATTCCCTCTCATCATTGATGTTTCTCTTTTTCCCTCTCCCTTCCTCTCTGAAATTTATTAAAAATATATTTATAATAATAAAAACATGATATTTAAAAAAAAAATTTTAAATTCTGCAGCACACCAAAAAACATATTTTTGTCAATCTGACAAAGAATAAGTATAATTTCGATTCATTCACACCGGATGGCTATGGTTGAATTGGCTGCTGTCGTGTTGTATTTAACAATCTAAGGGAAAAGAGATCAGTGTTCTAAAAATCCTTGTGGCACACCAGTGTGACACAGCACACAAAATCACTGCTCCAGGGCAATTCAGCTCTACCGCCACCCTGGTGTGAACCTCAGAGTTTTAAGAATTTCTCTCGTGCCATCTCACCTTGTTTCATCTCTCCCATGGGCACGATATCAACTCTCTAATGTCCTGACAAATTCTTAGTCCTCCTTCCAGACTCAGTTCAAGTAATAGCTTCCTTCAGAAAGTCCCCTTCCCTCCACCAGCCGGGTCCCTCTACACTCCCATAGCACCTTATGCCTTTTGTGGCATTTATGACACTGGCTTAGAGTTGTTGACTTTCTTGTCTATCTCTCTTATTAGATTTGGAGCAACTTGAAGGGCCTGGCACATAGTAGATTCTCAGTAAATATTTATCACGTGAAATAAAAAGGTTATGGAGATGAATGGTCTGATGGTTGCACAATATGAGTATACTTAATGCCACTTACAATGGTTTAAAACTATACATTTTATGTTATACGTATTTTACTATAATAAGAATGTTTAGCGAATGAATAATTGAATGGACGAATGAACTGAATACACACAGGACCTCTCCTCCATCATCTCATCCTGTGCCTCCACATACACCCATCCACTCACAATCTAGGTGTTCCTGCCGTCTAATCTCAAGTCAGTTCAATGAATATTCAGTGACCCCCTGCTATGTGCCAGGAGCCATAAGAGGCACTGGGGTCACAAAACAGAAGAGGCTATTGAATTGGCAAGGAGCCAGCTTCCAGGAATGAGGATTCTGTCTCTCTATTCTACCTCTTTTAAAAGAAATTTCTCCTGCTCTTAAGAACACCTAGGAAATCTGCCTCTTCAAGGCCTCCATCCCTAAGGCATTCCTGGCTACGATCACCAGGCTTTGGGGTCCCAGCCATAGGACGCCTTACCTCTTTCGATCTTCTCCGAAGCTGGCTTTCTGCAATGGTGCCTCTGGCTTGGGTTACATCCCCTAGCTCCTGGCTCAGAGCTTCCTCGAGTTACAACCAGGTACCACCCTCCACTCCTAGGGAATTCTTTGATTGACAGCTTAGGTGCCCTATCTTAGTGCTGAACCCTGCTGGTGCTTGGGCACAGAAACTTGAATTTCATTGCCCTTCCTGCCCACCTGCAGAGACACCCTCAAGTGTCTCCCTTGAAACAATGAATCAAAGCATCATGGGCTTGGTACTAGTTACAACTTCAAAGATCATCTATCCCATACCGTCATTTCAGAGGAGGGGACCAGGCTCCTAGAGCAGGTGTGACTTGCCTGAGGTCAAAGGAAAGTCATGCAGCTGGGATTAGACCTCAGGTTTTCTAACTTTGGGCTAATAGCCAAGGGTTGTAACCCTTTCTCTCTCTCTCTCTCTCTCTCTCTCTCTCTCTCTCTCTCTCTCTCTCTCTCTCTTTCTCTCTCTCTCTCTCTCTCTCTCTCTCTCTCTCTCTCTCTCTCTCTCACACACACACACACACACACACACACACACTTAACACACTTACTTCTGAGTGGTAGTTTCACAGTTGGGAACAGGGTGAAAGGTTGATGGTTAGCAAAGGCCTGGAGATCAGAAGAGCCTTCCTGTCCCCAGACTCCTTTCCTCAGCTCCACTGATCTGAAACCTCCAAGTTCTGCTTAATTCGAGGACAGCAGGTCCCAGGACAATGGGAACCAACTACCCCAATTCACCAAGGGTGCTGGCATCAGAAAGCAAATGTCCTCATTTTTCTTGGGGAAAGGCCTCTTTTAAACAGTTAGGGCTTTGCCAGAAACAAAGTTATAAGGACATTGTTGGGCTCACCTGTATTTGCCTGTCAGCCTTTGCTGAGTGCCTGCTGTGCCATGCCAGAGGCAGGCTCTCCCAGCTGCCTGCAGCTTCTGCCCCAGGTCTGGGCCTTCAGAACTATGACAGCCTGGCCAGAACCAAAAGTGCAGCTCAGTCTGTGGCTGCCTCCACAGGCTTCCCTTAAGGAGAGAGGGTGATCTGGGAAGGGGACAGAGACCAAACCTCTCTCACCAAGGTTCTCAAGACTTCTGAGTGATCTAATGATTATTTTCTGGAATCATTTTCTTGTTTGATTTCCTGCTGTATCTGACCTGTCTTTGCAGCTCTCTCCTTACCTGGCTTCTGTGCCCCTGACTCTCTTTCTCCTGCTCTGCCAACTTCTCTGTCTCCTTTTCTGGGCTCTCTGTCCGCCTCTTAAAGGCCAGTGTTCCCCAACACTCTGCCCTTTGCTCTTTTCTCCCTTTATATACTCTTCCACAAACATTTTATTCACCCCTCTGGTTTTAACATCACTGATAAGCTAATCATTGTTAATTGTATACCTCTCAATTTAGTGTGTCCAAACAAAATTCCTAGTTCCTCAAATCTACCCATTCTATGCTCCTGGTCCCTAAGCTGGAAACCTGGTAGAAACCCATGACTCCCCCCTCTCCTCTAGCTCTCAATCCTATTGGTTCTACTTCTGAAACCTCTCTCCAGTGTACCCTCTCCTCTGCGGTCTCATAGCCATAGCCTTGAAAGTGGTGTAGTATATAGTGATTAAGAACTCAAGCGTGGAGGCTGTGGCTGGGTGGCTCATTGATTAGAGCATCATCCCAATATGCCAAGGTTGTGGGTTTGATCCCCAGTCAGGGCACATACAAAAATCAACCAATGAATGCATAAATAAGTGGAACAACAAATCACTGTTTCTCTTTCTCATTAAAAAATCAATCAATAAAAATAAATGAATTTGAAAAAGAACAAGAACTCAAGCTTAGTGTTGGACTGAGTTTGAATCTTGGCTCTACCCGTTTTTAACTGTGCGACAGTTCTAAACCTGGGTTTCCTCATCTATACTGTGAAGATCTTATAAGATGGTTACTTATAAGATGGTGCTAAATATAGTGCCAACCTATAATAAGCACTCAATGCACATTAATGTGATGGTCTACAACTCTGGTATTTGAGACTACATCTCTACTTAGTTCCTGTTTCAAGCTTCCACTGGGGTGGTGGAAACAATGTGAGTCAGTTTGGTTTGCCTCCTCCTCGCTCCCAAGGTAGAGTCCAAGTTAGGGGAAGTATGGGTGCTAAGACTTAAGAGGGGAGGCCCACCTGGTCTTTGGCCACCTATTTGCTCTCCACTGGCATCTCCTTTCTTCTCATCTACCTGGCCTTTCAGACTCAGGGACCTCATCACAACCAGAAGAGGGAGCAAGTCTTCTAGGTACTTCCTTTCTGGCTGGGTTGGGTAATTTCTGCACAACAGTCTGAAGGCATAGCTGCCCGGCTGGTTATGCAACTGTTCTTTCTCAGGGTCCGGTGCGCCTCCAGTCCTTCCCAGGAAGCAGGGAGTGGGATCTCTATCACCAGGAGTCACCAACATCTAGATTCTTCCTACTTCCCCCCTGGTGCTGGTGGTGGAGGGCAAGGGGGAATCCCTTCTGGTCTCAGAGAATACGCACTCTCTTCAAACCCCACATCTCCCAAACGGCTTTGTCTCAGCCCTGAGTCTCCTCTGTTTCTCTGAAGGTTTGGATAGTTTCTGTTTTTCCCCCTTCACATTTCTCCCCTGAGACTAGGAACCTAGGCTGTCTAGCTGCTTGAACGTGGCATGGGGAGAAGGGCAAAAGGAGAAATACTAGATGGCAATATACAAAAAAAACCCCACATTTTTTCAGTGTAGTTGTAGTTATAATTGTTTTTATTTGTTCAGACCCTTATTGTGTAAATTTATATGTATTTGTTTCCCCCCAGGTCCCACGTGGTTCAGGGTTCAGGATCTGGAAGAGGAGCCACACACAAATGAAAGAGACAAGCCGAAACCGCTTTGGCTCAGTGGATAGAGCGTCAGCCTGCAGACTGAGAGGTCCCAGGTTTGATTCCGGTCAAAGGCATGTACCTGGGTTGCGGGCACAGGATGTGCAAGAGGCAGCTGATCGATGTTTCTCTCTCATCGATGTTTCTAACTCTCTCTATCTCTCTCCCTTCCTCTCTGTGAAAAATCAATAAAATATATTTAAAAAAACAAAAACAAAAACAAATGAAAGAGACAAGACAAGAAATAATAATTTGGAAATATTGGGGGGCCAGGCGGGCAAGTCCAACTCAAGGGGAAGGACTTCCACTGGTGTTCAGGCCTCACCAGCCTTTTATTGGTTTGGGATACACCCATAGCCCTTAGGTAGGCAATTTCCAGTAACAGGCAGACTTGCCCTTTAGCAAGGATTTACATAATAGTAAATGGGGAATTTGCTTCAGCTACCATTGTCTGGACTAACAGTGGGTGCACAGCCCTGACCTTTGCCAGGGCTTCAAGGGTCACCAGCCTTGCGGGTTCCTTGTCCACACCTCTCTGCTAGTGAAGACAATAGGTGGCTTCCCACACCTTATTTTTCTCTCACTTGTGCTGTTGCAATAAACTCCCAATTGGTCTCTGTCCCTAGCCTCACTCCCCTTCAAGC